GAGAGAGAGAGAGAGAGAGAGAGAGAGGAAGATGGCCACCAAAGCACAGGGCAAGGTGCAGACTGGACTGGACTGAAGTGGGTGGGCTTTGCAGGTTCCCACAGAGAACTTCTCTCAGGACTGGGGACTTTCTAACACCCCGAAGAGCCTGCTCACTCAACTGCATCCAGTGCTGCCCTGTTTTCTAGCTGAGTGCCGAGTCCAGGTAAAGTTCCCTGGGCAGCTCAGCGACCCTGTCCCTTCAGTAACTCCGTGAGAACTACTGCTGAGTTAGAGGGCCAAGTGGCTGCAGCCCTTCTGAGGAAGCGATTAGAAAAACAGCCAGACCAGGACACAGAAGGACAGCCACAGACCTCTCCTCCCCACACTGCACAGCGCCATTTTGCTGGGCCCAACCAGTGCAGCCACCTCCAAGGTGCAGCATCACACACCCGGCTGAGGAGAGAGCCAGTGCGCACTTGGGTGCTCACTCATCTCTGGGATGGACCAGGACCGCACCCCAACACCCTACCTCCCAGCCCAAGGACACTCTCCAGCTCCCCATTCCAGGTCCTTCCTCTTCTTTGTAAACCCTGCCATCTGGAGGGTGAGTCCATGAGCACCTCGTCCAGGTACAGCAGTGTCCCAGGACCACGGCCTTCAGCCCCAGCCCTACTGTCTACAGAAAAGCCAAGAAACCCCAGGCTGCATTGGTAGCAGGACTGCATAACCAAGGAGCCCACTGTGTCCCCTTACAGGGAAGAGTTAAGGCAGCCGGCTCCAAAGAGGAAGGACCAGAAGGCAGGTCAGCGCTTTTCAAGGTGGGAGGAAAGGGAGACGTGGCCCTGCTGTTGGGAACACCCATCCTGAGGGCTGACTAACACTACCGAGCGGCTGTCTGGGGCAAGGAAAAAGTTCTGGGAACAGACAGATGTGACGGTCACATGGCCTGGGAAAGTACATAACGCCACCAAACTGGACACCACCACGAATTTGAGGCCAGCCTGAATCACATGGAGAGACAAGTCTTACCCCGCTCCCCAATGATTAAATCATCAACAATGTGTGTCCTAACACCACTGAAAACAAAAAGCTAAGGGCCAGGGATGTAGCTCAGTGGTGCCACACCTGCCTGGCAAGCACAAGGTTCTGAGTTTGCTCCCCGGTACTAAAAAGAGATTTTTTTTTAAATTTATTTTTTTGATATTTTTGAGACAGGGTCTCACTGTGTAGTTGAGACTGACCTGGAACTCACTCTGCAGCCCAGGTTGGACTCAACTCACAGTAATCCTCTTGCTTCAACCTCCTGAGTGCTGGGATTATAGGCGTGCGCCACCACACCCGGCTATGGTTTAACAAAATCTAATCCAATGGAGTTCCAGCGGCACAATTAGTAAAAAGTACTTACAAAAACCTAACCCAAGAACTGGGTGCAATGGTGCACATCTGTGATCCTAGCACTCTAGGAGGCTAAAGCAGGAGAACCACAAGTTTGAGCCCAGAATGATAAACTCTGCAATTTAGCAAGAGTCTGTATCAAAATAAAGAGGTTTAAGAAACAAAAACAAACAAAAATTCTGTGGGCTCCAAGTTCAGAAATCCACTGTGTGAACGTGACTTCCACAGCAGGACTCTAAAGCCACAGGGGCCCTGATAACCATCACAGCAGCGCAGAGCCCAGGGCAAGATCCTCTTCCTTAGGGAAACAAAACCCCCCATCCAGCGGCCAGCAGCCGAACCACCCAGCCGCTCACCTTCTTGAAGAGGACCACTCCATCTTGGTCAAGCTGGTATCTGGAGAACACATCATTACTGGACGTGATCCCAAAAGGTATGTCATCGATGGCCTCTGCTGCCAGTAGGAACTGCTTGGCAAAGTTGGACTCCACGTCCTAGAAGAAGGAAAACCAGAGGTCGATGTGCACCCCGACAGAGAGGAGTTTCCCCAGTGGGATGGCAGCGGAGCAGTCACTGCGGTGCCTGTCCGCAGGGACCCCTGCCTGAGTGGTGACAACAAACAATGATGTTCTAAAGCTCTACCTTGAAGAAGCCGATGACAGCCACCTCGCTGGACTCCACCAGGGACTCTGCAGCCGCGCCATCCGATAGGGTGCTGGCAGCGGGGCCAGTGCGCTTCTTCAGCCAATTCACAATATCATCCGCTTCTCTGCCAGCTGCACCCAGACACAACCAAGTCCCACAGTCAGATAGTGTGTTTCGCACCCTGCCGAGGGGGGCAAGGACCCCAGCCGACAGTGACGTTCTCCCCACAGGTGTGGGCGGCCAGAGGGAGCCTGGCCTTCTGCTCCTGCTCCTGTACAGGAGGCTGCAGCTGAGCTTAGAGAAGAGCTGGGTGTGGTGGCACATGCCTGTGATCCCAGACACACTGTATGGGAGGCTCAGGAGGCAGAGCTCCAGCTCCAAATCTCTACTTCAAAATAAATCTAGGGGGCTAGGGATTTAGCTCAGTGGTGCTGCCACCTGCCTCATAAGCACAAAGTCCCAAGTCTGATTCCCAGTACCAAAATAAATAAATAAATATTTTAAAACAAGGTTAAAAAATAAAATGACAAAGGGACTAGGGATCTGGGTCAGTGAAAGAGAACTTGCCTAGAATGCACGAAGCCCTGGTTTCAAACCCCAGCACGGGGGTGGGGTGTTTTGTCACCTGAGAGAGATCACAAGCCATCTCTTCTTTAATCCCTCTGCCATGTCTCAGTTTTCATGGGTCTTTAAATCCATTAAAGTCACACTTTCTCTGCAGTGCTCTCAGGCCGGTTCTCCCACCCTGCCCCTGCCTAAGCTCCTAGGTGTTTCTGTTCAAGGCCTACCCTACCCTCTTCCAAACTAGCAGGAAACAAAGAACCATGGTGCGTGCACGTGACCCACGGGGGATAAAGAAGCTTGCTTCCAGGATAGTCCTCGAAGCTATCAACTACCCGGTGAACCACAGGAGGGATGACTCAACCCAAGTTCACCAGGACTGCAGAAGGGGACTCCGAAGAAGCTGTTACAAATGAATGAGGAAGCAAGGCAGTTACCTACAACCCCAAGCACCACGGAGAACCGGTCACTGCCGACAAGGCACTTCCCACTCTACACGAACACTCGCCGAAGTGCAGACTGCCCAGTAAGGCAGCCAGATCAGGACACACATGCTCAGGGGATGAATGCACTAGCTCTGGGCTGGGCTGGTTACAGGACGCTGACCACAGGTCTGGTGGACATTCAGGGGAATTGGCTTAGAAACGGTAAAGTCCTCTTCAGGCACCCATAACTGGTTTGGTCACATTAGGGCCCAACTTCCATGGAAACTGCTTTAGAGGTGGCTGAGGAGCAGCTGAGGGCTTGGATTTAGGGTCTGCCACTGACAGCTGTGAGGCTGTTATTGCCTGTGAAGGGCCCTCCCTACACAGCAGTCCAGTGAGTAATCAAGACAGTGAGTTCATGGTGCATATCTGCAATCCCTGATAGTTGAGAGGCCAAGGGGAGAGAATTACGTGTTTGAGGCCAGCCTAAGAAACTTAAGACTATTAAAATTAAAACCAAGCTGGGAAAGTGTGGTAGTGAACAATTGCCTCCGGTCCCAGCAACTGGGAGGCTGAGGCAGGAGGACTGCTGTGAGTTTGAGGCCACCAGGGATGCACAGTGGAGACCCTGTCTCAAAAAAAATAAAGTTTCTTTAAAAAGACAACAACAAAAATACCCAGGTGTGGTAATGCCATACCTGCAACACCACCACTCAGGAGGCCAAGACCCGAAGGATTCCCACAAGTTTGAGGCCAGTGTGGACTATAAAAGGAGACCCGGTCTCAAAACACAAAACAAAACTAAACAACAGAACACCAAACGAAAAGGGCTGGTGATGCAGCTCAGTAACAGAGCATGGTGGTAAGTGCCTGTAATCCCAGCACTCGGGACGCAAGGCAGGAGGACTGTCATGAGTTGAGGTCAGCCTGGGCTACAGAAAGACTCCATCTCTGCTGGACATGGTGGCACACGCCTGTAATTCCAGCACTCGGGAGGCTGAGGCAGGAGGATCACTGAGTTCAAGACCAGCCTGGGCTACATAGTGAGTTACCGGTCAGTCTCAACTACATAGTGAGACCCTGTCTCCAAAAGACAGAGAGAGAGAAAGAGAGAAAGAAAGAGAGAAAGAGATAGAGAGAGAGAGACAGACACACACACTCCATCTCAAAAAATAAACAAATATATTTGGGCTCCTAAAAGCACTGATAGCCCAGGACAGTACAACCAGCAGCCACCCACCCCACCCCCGCGTGCCCCGGATGTTACCAGGAACACAGCTCTCGCCATGCAGAGAGTTTTCCAGATAGAGGACTTTCCTGGCAGGACCCTTGAGTATATAAGCAGACGGACAGGGTGGGCATGATAGTGCACACCAGTAATCCCACAGCTTAGGCAGCCGAGGCAGAAGGATCACCATGAATTCAAGGCCAGCCCGAGCTACACCAGCCTAGCAAGACCCTGTCTCAAAAACCAAAAACAACAAAAAAGAAAAAGTTGGGCCGGGGATGTAGTTCAATGGTTTCGCTGCCTACTTTGCAAGTGCAAGGTCCTGAGTTTGTTCCCCAGTACCAAATAAATAAATAAATAAATAAATAAAGGAAGAATAAACAAAACCCATCTAAGACAGGGTCTCCCCCAGGCCTCTGAAAGCACCCCCTACCTGTTGGATACACTATTGGCTGAACTTTCAGTTGGGTTAGCTTCAGAGGACTGCAAGCAAATCCCACTGCAAAGACAATTAAAGGGCAGTGCTGCAGTCACACCTGTATACTCCTTGGGGGAGTTAGTGTCTCCATTCTTGAAGAACTTGATCGTGGGGTAGCCACGGACACCATACTGCTGGGCCAGATCAGACTCTTCAGTGGCATCTACCTTTGCCAGTCGGATCTCAGAACCTTCCGCCTTCAGCTTCCCAGCAGCTTTGGCATACTCCGGGGCCAACGCTTTGCAGTGGCCACACCAAGGGGCATCTGGAAAAGAAAGTGACTGAGCACCTAACAGCAGCCCTTGTTCAGTTCCATGGTTCCCTTCTTTTCTCTTTCATAAAACCTTATCAGCGCACAAGATAACCCCTCTCAAGCAACTAAGCTGGGCTGATAGCTGGTGCCTCAGACATTATCAGGACAGAGGCTAAGAGCGACAAACCAATCCCCCACTCTGCTGTCACCACCAACACAGGACACAAATTCTCCAATCGACTATAACTTTCTATCACCCACAAGTAAGCAGGGCTGGTGTGATCCTAGGATTTTCCCTTTAAGGACCCAGGGAAAGTTGAGGTTTGGTGCTCCAGCTCCATACACAGCAAGTACGTTCTGTGCACACGTGCCCAGACACACATCCAACACTGTTCTTTATAGAGTAGAAAAAGAGACTCTGTCAACAATGGCTAGCAGCTGTGTAGGGCATGACTCCCAGCCCAAAAGGGGTCGGAGCTCAACTACTGCTAAACATAATCAAAGGCTTCTGATGCTGGCTTACTACAGGCTGGGAACGCGATGGCAGGTTAAAGACAGTGTGAGGTGTGAGCAAGGGCAGGGCGTTTCTGGGTCAGCCCCCGTGAGTAACCAGCAGGGCTGGACGCCGGCTTGTTCTTGTATCTGCTGAGGCTTACACAAGACCATCCTGTTTCTCCTTTGCTAGCGCAGGGATCGTGCCATGTGGACGGCGAGCACAAAGGCACCTCCCTGGCTCGCAGCCTGGCAGGCACAGAGCTTCCCGTCTACGCAGGCAAGATGCCCCCTGGGCTGACAATCGGTGCACTGGCGAGACGAAGCTCGGGCCGAGCCA